TCTTTTTTTTTTTTTTTTTTTTAACCAGTTAACTGTGGCGTCCTCGTTTGAGAGAACGAATCGTTTTGTATCGCCAGAATTGAGTTAGGTCGAGTATACTCGTCAATCACAGAATGCGTTAGTAAGATATTGAATCAAAAATATGTGTGTTTATTTTATAAAATTGCCAATCGTATTACTAATATTTATTTATTTGGTTAATATAAACATATATTACATACATATTAAACTAAGAACGCAATAAAAATTAAATATTTTTTCCTGAAGGAACCCTATCATAAATCAACTTTCTGACTTTTGTCTTTGTCCCTTTTAAGCTAACATCTAAAAAACGTTATCATTGCACATTAAATAAATTCATTATGCGAACTGGTGAGCTGTTTCAACCGGTGCATTCGAGGATGCATGAGTTCATCTCAAATTATTTATATTTTTAATTAGTTTGTTTTATTCCGGCATTGCCTCAAAATATTCTAAATATCTTGAAATTTGAAAATATGTTTTGTTTTTCTTAAAAATTACAATTTAAATAGCTAATAGTTACTACTTTATACGCATGACGAGTATATTCGTCAATCACAGTTAACTGGTTAAACTGCATTCGACGATTACGAATTTTCTCGATTATTTTTTTGTTTCTTTTCTCAATGATTTAAAAATAAAAATAAAACAACTTTATGAAGATTTGTTATGACTTAAAATTATAAAAATAAAGAAATCGAATTTTAATGAAATATTATCTTCAATAACAGTCACCATTTTGATTGAACAACCATGAAGAAAAAAAGAAATTCGTGGGACCGTACTGGAATCGTATTAAACATGGATTTAATGTTAAAGCAACATTGTTCTTTCGAAATGAAACATATTTTAGTGATATTCAAATTTATCTTTGTCTTTTTATTAAGGAATTCAAATAGAAAAATAAAATAAAAGATAAAAGAAAATAAAAAGAAGAAGAAAAAGATGTCGAAAGACAAAAATAGATAAAAATATAGCCTAAAGCACAGGACTTTGAGTAAACGTCGAACGAGTTACCATACGTTCTTCTTGATCTTTATACAAAACCGACGTATACACACACATACATATCTATCCATCTATATATACACTATATGTATATACATAGTTGTAAACCGTACTTTGACTCAGCCTTTGTAAGGATTCCCTTTGAATCTTCATCCTGATAATCCTCATCCTCTTTCCCTTTGCTATATTCGTGGAATAAACGAAACGATGATCGATACAGCACACACACATACACACACCTACACTAAGCGTGTTATAATCGCGTCAAGTAATGCGAGCGAACGGGAATATCGTTTGCATAAAAACAGAAAAAGAAAAAATAGAATAAATAAAAATATGCTTAAAACTATCACCTTGGTATTTGCAACGAGGAAAAACAAGAAGAACATTTAAAAAAATATTTAAAATCGTCATAGTATTTGCAGCATGGAAAGAAATGAAATAAAAGAAAAAAGAACATGGAAAAAGAAACAAAGATGAAAAGAAAGAAATAAAGAAAGAAATATATACGAGACTAGATTCGAAGCTAGATATGTTTGTTTGTGTGTGTATACGTTCATGGGGGGTGAGAGTTGTGTATTTCTTTATACATACAAAGAAAGCTTGAAGGAAACCAATCGCATTTTCCGAAAGCGAAAAGCGCGAAACGACAACGACGACAACAACGACGTGTTCACGTCTTTATAAACGATAGAAAGTAAAGAGAGGTGGTGGTGATGGTGGGTGGGTGGAAAAAGAGGTGAGATGAAGAAGGTGGGTTTGGCCAAACGGACAAGCAACGAAGCGCACCAATACATGACCAAATAAACTTTATCCTGTGGCACGGAGTTGGAACGAAAAGAACTTCCTCTTCCTTCCACTTCTTCTTATTTCTTTTTCTGTCTACGAATCGGCTTTTATTCTACCCCCTTTCCTACCACCCTTTACCCCTACTTCTTTTTCTTATTCTTATTCGACTGTTTTCTTTTTTTTCTCTTTTTATTTCATCCCCCTGATTCTGTTCTTTTTACTCCTATCCTTTTTACTCCTTTAACGCATTTTCTTTCTTTCTTTATACCTTGTTGGATATCGCAAATTACTATCTTTGTTACTAACTAGTGTTTTGTAATCTAGTGTTTTGTGAACTTATCATCTTGTTAAGGATCGTTGAGATTCTTTTGTTACTTTGTTCGTTATCGATATCTTTTAATTATCATTAACTTCTTTTCACACTTTTCTTTTCTCCTTGCTGATATTTTTTTCCTATTAGGAATTAGATTCTTTTGTATAAATAATAATGGTGTTATTTATTTAATTAGAATTTTTTGATTATTTATTAGTTTTTATTTTAAACAAAAGACTAATCTTATCTTTGTTTTGTGATTTTATGTCAGGTTTTCTCAAATTTTCATTTATTGTAAGTTTATTTTCACCTTAAGGATTTTTCCTAATAAGAATTAAATTCTTTTGTATTAATTATGATGGTGTTATTTATTTAATTAGAATTTTCATATTATTTATTCGTTTTTATTTTAAACAAAAGACTAATCTTATCTTTGTTTTGTGATTTTATGTCAGGTTTTCTCAAATTTTCATTTATTGTAAATTTATTT